AATTTCGTCGTAGGTGGGATTTGAACCTTAGACCTGCCACTTGGAGGATGACAACCCAACCACTACACTAGGATCACTATCTTCTTTGTATAGGTTATTTATAAAAGCATCAGTCAGTATTTATTACTTTTTTTTTGTTGCAAAGGAGGAGTTTAGGTTAGTGCAAATCGAAGAAAACTAAAATAATAAAATTTTAAGTGGGTGTGAAGCAAAAGTTATTAGACAAATATCAGATGACCACAACCATCTATTTTCTTTATATTTATTGAACTTGATTTGTTCGCATTCACTATATTTATTTTCAAATAGATTTTTTGTGAAAAGGTCAGCCAGTTAAGTTACAGAATATTCTGCAGTAACTAACTTTAGCTTATGTTTGTTATTATAATTTGAATGAATATTAATAATTTTATCTTTAAATAGGTTCTTGGAATTGCTCATTCACTGTTATTATATTTTCGGTTATAATTTTTAAAAGGCAAGCCCACTATACTTTTACTTTTGAATATTCAGTAGTATCTTGCCTCTATTATCATAACTTAAATGCAGTAATAAAGTTTTATCTTTTAAAAGTTTCTTGAAATCATTTGTACTTATTATTTTTCTGAACATAATTTGTAAAAAGTTTGTGGATAGGTAATTCTGCTATAGTTTTATGCTTGAATATGCAGTGATATCTTGTTTCTGTTATCATAACTTGAATACAGTATTAAAAATCTTTAAATAGTTTTCTGAAATTGTTTGCTTTTTGTTACTATTTATTTCTGAATATTATTTGCAAAAAGGCAAGCATGTTACAGTTTTATACTTAAATATTATGCAGGATTTAAAATTTCAATTGCCCTTATAAATGCATTATTTAAAGTCTTTGTTTTTTGAATAGTTTTGAATAGAACTACAAAATGTTGATCCTTTATTCAACAGTATTCTGCCTACAACCATTTCACTGATCAATAGATCTGCTTTGCAACAACAATCCATAGGTTTAACTATTTTAAATATTAACATTAATTATATAAATGATGAGTTAGATGAATAATCTGATAATAAATTTGAAGAACAATTAGAACAATTAGAGTTTTATAAAGATAAGCATTTGGAATGCTCATATCAAAATTAGAGGATGGGACTATACAATATATAGTCCCATTTTCTGATTTTGCTATGAGTATTTCATTTGTAAGCTCTGTAATTTTAGAAATCAAAAAACAAATTTACAACATTTTATATTATCAGAACAAATATTTCAAACAGCTAAGGAAGCATATATTATAGTTGAGTCTTTTGCTTATTCAAATGGATTTGGAATTTGGAAAGGATGTGTTGAAAAGGATTCAAGTAATAGGCATGAAATTTCAAGATCATTCATATGTTATCATGTTGGAAAACTGTTAAACAAAAACAAATTATATAAAACAAAAAAATCTGGCTCATGTCGAACTAATTATAAATAGAAAGTCAATATATACTGAAATAAGCATTTAAATAAATATCATATATCTACCTTTACAAGTACTCATACTGGTCATATTTCTAATCCTATTACTATACAATTTATTCCCAAAAGTCGAAAGCTTACTAATGAGATGTTAAAAGATATTGAATTTTATACTTTATCAAGAAAAATTAATGCAAATGCTTAGTATCGACTTCTTCTAGAAAGTACAAAGTTTCTATTCATCATAGTAATTTATATAATACAATTACAAAGATTAAAAAGAAGAATTCTTATAATAACAATGATGCATCACAGTTGTTGTCTAAACTATTTAAAAAAAGAAGGAGGATTCAAGATGGGTTATTGAATGATGTTTTAATCCAGATACTAGTGCTTTGATATATCTTTTTTGGATGTCACCAAATCAATTTAATTTTTGAATATGATATAGTAACATTGTTCTTCATGATAACACAGCAAAAACCAATGTTTATAATATGCCATTATCTCTTTTTATCATTATAGATAATACTTATCAATCCTGTCTTGTTGCACAAGCAATATTGAATGATAAAACAGCAGGCTTATATTCCTGGTTACTTGAAGTTTTACTTAAAGCTACTGATAGGCTTTATCCAAATAGTATCTTGACAGATGCTGACTCTGCCATGACACTTGCCATTTCTACTATTTGGCCTTCACTCAGCATTTACATTGTATCTATTACATTGATCAAAACTTACAAAAAAAACTTAAAAGCAAATTAGAATCTGATTGAGATTTATTCATCAAGAATTTTTATAAAACCCAGAATGTATTGAATCCAAAAATATTTGAAAATCAGTTTAAATCTTTGCAAGAACATTATCCAAAAGCAAATTAATATCTCAACAGAGCTTTATATCCTAATAGACAATCTTGGGCAAGAGCATATACCTTTTGTCACTTTACTGCTAGTGCACAAGCAACCAGTTGTGTTGAGTCAATTAATTTGCATATCAAATCTATTATAAGCTGTGGCTATATAACTTTGTATGATTTGTTCAATTCATTTAACTTCTTGATCACTAGCCAAGACTATCATTATGACTTTATTAGTTGGAAATCATCAAATTCAAATATTAAACCACCAAACATTTATGATACTATGTATACAAATGTTGACACCATTCTCAAAACCTTCATTGTGCTAAATTTAATTAAAAAAATTTGTTACAAAATAAACTATAGCCTATTTTACCATTTTGCTAAAATATACCCAGAGTCTTTACATTTATGTCAGGAAAATATCACTTTATTACTTTTACTATGTTATATAATAGTATTCATTCTGATTATTTAAATTACATTTATTAACAATAAGCTCATTTTACTAATAACTAGTTTATTGACAAATATAAATTAGTGAGACTATTTTATAAATATCTTTGGTAAAGTATTGTTGGTAAACCTGTTATCAGTAAAATGAACTTGTCAAAGGTTATGTTAGTTAAAGTAATTGTTATCAAAACAACATATTAGATCTAATTGTATTTTTATTCATTATTATAGATGCAAGATAATGATGAAGCATTTGTCAACAATGTGTTTGATTATCCATTGGCTTATTCTTTTGTGTTCTTCAAAGAAGTCAAAGACAAAGTAGTTGAAGTTTGGAAAATAATACATATGACTTGGCAACATTTTAGCTTTATGTATTTTTGCTTAAAGATGGTTCTTATATATGCAGTTGTATATTATTAGTCAATTATAGATATCCATGCAGGTATTTTTTTCAGATTATGACATACTCTTCTGCCACAAAATTTTCTAATAATTTTGTGACAAAGCATTGGTTGCTTGAAAAATATCAAGATAATGATCTTGGTATACAGCCTCTTGTTAATCTGTCTACAGTTTTTTTATCTGAACTATCTAAGTTATTAATTCCAACTACTATATTACAGTCAAATGAATCTGCCAACTTATTTTCTGCACAAAATATAATGTCAACTATGACTCATCTTTTGATGTCTGTTATTGCTAAAAAGACAATGCAAAAAAAAAAAGTTTATACTAAAACTATTGGAATTGTATAAAAAGCAATAAATATCACAATTGAAAAGAATGATCCACACATTCTTAAGTTTTTAAAGAGTTATATTTTTCAAAATAAACATTCTCTTATTGAAAATACAACTGAGGCATCCTCTTCTAGTTACAAAACAAATGTTTTTAAAGAATGTTCTGAAGTAAATATCATCTCTGAAAAATCTCAAGTTTCTAATTCTGTCAAGAAAGCTAGAAAAGAGTGACCACCAAAAATAGCATGTTATTAGTCATTACTTGAGAATCCATTGTTAAAAGCTCAAGAAAAACAACCATATGGCTCTGGAACTAATATGTGTAGTGAATGTGGTAGTAAAGGTCGTAATTATTAATGACATTCTAAGCATAAAAATAAAAGCTATGATTCTGAGATTATATGTGAACTTTGCAATAAATGTGGCTATAAAAAAGAATTGCATAATTATAATCTTATAGAAGAAAATGAGAATGAATGAGTTGGCTCAAGTGGTTCTAAGTCAGGTGCTAAAATGGATAATATTAAGTAATTTAACTTTTGCTTAGATTCATAAAGTTTTTGCTTGTATGTGAATTAATAATGAATTGATGATTCTCATTTCTTATAATGAATATAATGTTTTGAGCTATTTAAAATTTTTAATATTAGCTGAATATATCTATTTCTTGATAAATTTATTAATGCCAGTGCAGTTAAAATAAAAAGTTATTTATCATTTATTATGAATATAAAAGTTACTAATTTTTTTTATAGTTTCAAAAATATTTAGTGGTGTTATGTCTGAATTGGTAAAAAATATTTAATCTTGTACTCTAGTAAATCGATGTTGTATAAGATGCTGGTTTGAAATTTTGTAATAATTTCTTATAGACAACGACCATAAATAGCATTGCTTTCTTAAAAAGTATGTCTAGATAGCAATATATTTAGTGAGAGCTAACTATTTTATTTAAAGAAACAGTTTATCTGAGATATACTTAATATAATAATTATAGTGAATCTTAACCACAGGTAGTATAAGTTTTGAGAAAATTCATCTTATATGTAAGTAATATATTTTATTTTTTGTAAAGAAAATTTACAAAAGTATATATAGTTATCAAAACTTATAAAATTTATCTTTAGTAATCTCTTTTCAATAGTTAAGGTTAGGGTAAGTGCTAATATTGTCTTTTTTCAGTTATGATTGGTATAGTTTATAGATAAAAAATTTTTTTATAAACTATAAGTTACATACTAAATTTCTACTACAATGCTTAATTATTTATATATTACATACTTTCATATACCAAGTTTAAAGATTATTATCGTAGTTAAGAAGGATAAACGATCATATAAAATATATAGCACTGCAATACTTAGTACTTGGAACAGAAAATCATGAATTATAATAATGATAGTTAATTCATTCTGAAAGTAGTAAGCCATGCAGACAGTGCTTTGAGATAATGCAAATTTGTATAATTCATAGTTAGCAATTAGATATATAAATGAATTTGCACACTTTCGTTCATAGAATTTTTATACTATATAGTAGTAAATAGTATATATCATATAATTAAGTGTAATAAAATTAAGAGAATGCTACAGACACAACATTTTAAGTGCTTATGTGTATAACAATGCTGGAGTTAGTATTAGAGATAAGGTTAGGGGGGCTGAGAGTTAGTATTAGAGTTAGAGACTATATGACTAAGTTTATCATGTAAGTGTTATGTCTGTAGCATTAGCCTAAAATTGGTATAGCAGTTACACAAATGTTGTGTCACATGAAATTAAATAAAAAATTCAATTGGTTAACTATAACCCTGCATATAGTGCAGGGTGCACCAAAAAATAATGCTCTATAACTAATTGTATACTTTTTTTGTAATAGTTTACAAGAATTATATTACTAAAAAAACTATTAATAAAAAGTCAAAAAACCAAAAAGGTCATTTTAACAAAAAAAAAAAAATTATTTCAGAAAATAGGCAGATAAATTATATTCAGATTAAGTAATAGAAAATTAAAAATAGAATATATTATTTTAAAATTATATATAAATTTAATAATAATTCTTTTTTATATATTTAAATTTATAAAAAATTATATTAAGTAAACTAATTTGAATTATTAAGTAAAAGTTGTAGAATAGGTCTTTTTGATTCTAATAATAGCAAAATTATTAAAATTAAATAAAAACTTATTAAGATATAAATTTTTAAATATTAGAATATAAAATTATATAATAAAATTAACTTATAGGCTTATGTAAATTAACTAATCAAATTTTTCAATTTTGTATTATTTAAGAATATTTTAACCAAACTAAGAAAACTTTGTCATATATACAAGTATATTTTTTAAAATAATATATAATTTAAAAATTTTACTATAATAGATAAATAATTTTATTTATAATATTATAAAATTTTTTTCTTAATAAATTAAAAAATAAACTTTTATTAGTAACATATATTAATTTTAGATAAAAATTTTAAAAAAACATACAAAACTATATATATATAAATGATCTATGTACACTCTACCCTTAAGATACAACAAAATGATCATACCAATAACTAATTAAAATACAGCAAACATTATAAAAATATTAAAAAAATGTAGATATAGTATCACATTAGGTGTCTAGAACAAATAGTAATTTAGTAACACAAACGTAATGTGTAATTATATGTACGTAATAGTAATGCTGTGACTATATAAAGGTACCTCAATAATTGTCACACCCCTATATAATCACCAATTTCTGTATCCCAAGGAGGTTAGACTGTATTGGTGAAATATAAAAGACAAAGAATTTTTATTATCGTTTTCATCTACGTATATTTCACATAACAACAATGACAACAGCTGCTAGACCGACTTTTGACCCGGCTCGTGGCTATGACAGTAAAGCCCCGACATTACAATACAGTTCACGAGATCTTGCAGCTCATACAAAGCTTAAATATAGGTACTGAGTAATAATTTTTTCTTTCATTTTAGAAGCATTTTATACTTATTCTTTAAATATTAAATAGGCAAACAGGACAGCTTACAACGGAAGAACTTGAAAATATTGATCTTAAGGAAGAACTTCTTAAAGCTGAAAGAGAGCATTTTGAAAAGAAACAAGGCGAACAATTACGTGAAGCTGATGCAGCAGGCGAAGATCAATATTCAGAAACTCGACGTCGATTATTGTTGGAAACTGCTGCTATAGATAAGGACGACAGTGATGATGATAGTGAAGATGATGTTTCAAGGTTTAGTTATTTATGTTATTAAATTTCTTGTAAACACTTTAAGCCTGATAATTAAAAATAAGTGGCTAACTTGCATAATTCTGTTCGGTAATTAGCGATGAAGGTGAAGAGGAGGACGATACAGCCGCACTTTTGTTAGAATTGGAAAAAATCAAAAAAGAGCGTGCAGAAGAAAAAGAAAAAATGGTGTAGATTATTTTTTAATTATTATTTGTTCTGTTTCTTTTAAGTTTTATTAATAAAAATTTCAATTAAAGGAATTAGAAAAGATGGAATCCGCTGAACGACAAAGGCAAGAAGAAGCCATGAACGGAAATCCTCTGCTTCGTAAGGATTTTAGTGTAAAAAGAAGGTAGGTTACTGAATTAATAAAATATTTATATAAAATGAAATTCACGCAAGTTTTATTTTTATAAAAGATGGGATGATGACGTAATCTTCAAGAACCAAGCACGTGGAGTAGACGACAAACCTAAGAAACGGTTTATCAATGATACTCTTCGCAGCGATTTCCATCGAAAATTCATGAATAAATATGTGAAATGATTTGTTATTTTAATGTAATATTGGCCTAGTGGACATCTATTTGGTATAGATTTTTCAACATAATTTGTTTACTTTAAAAGCCATGAACATAAACCATTCATTGATTTCTCTAGCGTAGCCAACAAAAAATTTCGAGTACGCAACGATTAAAAATGTGGTTATGTTAGGGTTTGCTTATTTTAGAGTTAGCGATAGTGAGGTATAGTGGTAGAATCGTCCAAGCAAGAATTTTTGTTGGAACGCTAAAGGTGGTTTCTTATGTAGATTTTGAGTTATGAGCGATTTTTAACAAATACGAACTTTTCTTTCCTGATCGTGCTACGTTACACTAACAGCAATTGGTTAGTTTACTATCAATCCGAGATTTTTTGTTGGCTACACTGGGAGAATTCCATTCATTATATCAGTCACCTAATTTGTCACGTGTAAATTTTATATATATATAAAATTATTGTAAAATCATATAGAATTACTTATAAACTTTGAAGCTTTGATGTTTCTTCACTTAAAATTAAACTTTGCGATTAGATAGATAAAGAAAAGCAGAATAACGAAACCTTTCTGTCGAAATATGTATAATTTCGTCTAAATATTGATTTTAAAGTAAGAATTAGATGTAAATCTATGCTTCGAACAAGTTTATTTGGAGAGTAAATAAGTTAACTATATACAAATGTTAAAATTTTTGATATCTTTTTATACATATAAATAAGCTGTCAGTAAAATAATCTATGAAATGAACTTGTCCGTGAATTGAAATTATACGGATCCAGCTAGAAATCTGTTTTTCAAAATGCTCATTATAAGCATTGGCTTGGCTTAAATTAGGATAGCAAATCAGCTCAAAGCTAATCAGCTTATAAATGGCTCGGCTCTGGTCTGCAAAGCCGAAGAATCGGTTTGCAAGCAATTAACAGTTAAAACCATCTGAATTGTCATAAATGAAACTTACAGTACCCTTATAGAATAACTTTCTCATGATTGGTCGATTACATGAAATTGAAAATACTCCGTTATGATTGGTTATCGATTACGCGAAATTGAAATATCTGTTGTTTTTTTTAAGCAGTTATACTAAAATACCTACCATCGAAATTTAGTATCATCTGATCATTTTAATAGTATTTAAGTGTAACCTGTCATATTACCCCAAACAGAAGTAGGTTGTTGTTTGATTATTTAAAGTTCATAATAAAAGGTTTTTATTTTTTTATAACAAGTTTCAACATTGTCTTTCTAGTATTTTTTAATTTGTTTTTTCTTTTTTTTTGTTTGTTTATTTTTTTTTATTTTTTACTAATTTATTTCAGAGGTTGGAATTAGTTTTAAACATTTAAGTTTATTATATAAAAATTTAAGTTTATTATATTAAAATCTGAGTTTATTTTTATTTTTTTTTTTTTGCTTTCGCTAAGGCCGTAGTTATCAGCAGCTATTGCCTTTATTGTATTTTAATTATGATTACATAACTTGTACAAGATGAGTATACAACTAGCCACACGTACAACTTTTGGTTGTCTAATTTAAGTAATCCGTCTGCACAACAGGTTTTACACTAGCTGTCATACCTGCAATCTACTAGGAGATTACCTAATTTAAACACTCTAATTCCTATACTTACACTGACAAATAGCACACAAGTTCCCATACACCTAAGTGCCGTCTAACCCAACCATGACTTTCCTGTCTGTACATCTGTCAAGCCATTACACATTTCAGAGTACGTTACCTGACTATAGGGCTCCAGGAGGTCCTCCTGCTAACTAACTACTCATGTTTAGTATCTTGTTAACAGGGCTCGTCTTTGCAGAGTTTACCCAGACCCCAGCACTGATTTCACAGCATATCCCTAGTACTTTAGTATACCCTTGTTTCTGATCTCAGACTCTTAATCCAGATAACCTAGTAGAACTGTGACCTTTCCTGGTACTCCAGGGTCTGCCTCCCAGGGTCCTTTTTCTTTGGTTCGAGTCTTTTAGCGACCTGGTTGGTGGTACCCCTCACCTGAGGTTCTTGCCTGTCTGATTTCTTCCACATTGGTATCCGTTTTCTAGGTCTAGCCTTTACAGTACATCAGCAAAATTATAGATGCAAAATATTTTGAAAGAATTTGCATAGCGCAAAAATTTCGAAATAATCCGAAAGAAATTTCGAAATTTTTGCGAAACGCAAAATATTT